TTTTTTAACTCCTCCCTCTCTGCCCTGTATGCACTGCTCTTTAAATTTTCGTTCCCTAACATCTCTCTGTAGATTGTGCCCAGTCCCATTTTTTTAAGTCCTCCCTCTCTGTCCTGTGGCCTGTTATGATTTGTTCTGTGTCTCCTTTCTCTGACTCTTTGGTCCCTATTTTTCAGTTTCTTCTTCTCAGCACTGTAGCACAATGCTGTTATTTGTCTGTCTTCATCTCTCTCTTGTCCAGCTCCCTGTCCTGGTTTTGTAATTCCTCCCTCTCTGCCCTGTGGCCTGTCGCTGTTTTTCTGTTCTCTGTCCCGCTCCTTGTCCTGAGTCTTTAATTGCTCCCTCTCTGCCTTGTAGCCTGTTGCAGGGCTTTTTTTCCCTTTCTCCATCGCTCTCTGTCCAGTCCCAGTCCCTACTTTCTAATTCTTCTCTCGCGGCCCTGTGGCCCATTGCTATCTTCCCTTTCTCTGTCTCTCTCTGTACAACTGTCATGGTTTAAGCCCAGCCAGCAACAAAGCACCAAGAAGCCCCTTGCTCACTCCTCCCCTGCGGTGGGATGAGGCGAAAACATAAAGAAATGGTTGTGGGTTGAGACAAGGAGAGGGAGGGATCACTCACCACTTATGGTCACGGGCAAAAGCCAGACTCAACTTGGGGAAAAAACAAAATCAATTTTATTTACTACCAATCAAATCAAAATAAAGATAATAAGTAGTAAAACCAAATCTTGAAACACCTTCCCCTACCCCTCACTCCATCCCAGGCTTAACTTTACTCCTTATTTTCTCCACCTCCTCCCCCACGGTGGTGAAGGGGGATGGGGAACGGGGATTGGGGTCAGTTTGTCACACCTTGTCTCTGCTGCTCCTTCCTCCTCAGAGGGAGGACTCCTCACTCATCCCCTGCTCCACCGTGGGGTCCCTCCCACGGGAGACAGTCCTCCATGAACTTCTCCAACGTGAGTCCTTCCCATGCAGTCTTTCAATCGCAGACTGTTCCAGTGCAGGTTTTCCCCCAGAGTCACGGCCATCTTCGGGGGCATCCGACTGCTCTGGCATGGGCTCCTCCCCAGGCTGCAGGTGGGCATCGCCCCCCCGCTCCCCTCCATGGGCTGGGGGGGCACAGCCTGCCGTCTCACCACAGGCTGCAGGGGCATCCCCTTCTCCAGCACACCTCCTCCCCTCCTTCTTCACTGACCTCAGTATCTGCACAGGGGTTCCTCTCGCATTCCAATCTCCTGCCCCACTGTAGGTTCCCCTTCTTAAATCTGTTACCCCCGAGGTGCTACCACCATTGCTGATGGCCTTGGCCAGAGGCAGGTCTGAATTGGAGCTGGGGAAGCTTCTAGCAGCTTCTCACAAGACCCACCCCTGTAGCCCCTCCCCCGCTACCAAACCCAAACCAACAGCTACAGGTCCCTTCCTTTTTAAAATTCCTCCATCTCTGTCTTGGAGCCCATCATGGTTTTTCCTTTCTCTGTGTCTCTGGCTGGCTGGCTCCCGCTCCCTGTTTTTCAGTTTCTTCTTTCTCCATCTCTCTGTCCAGATCTGGATCCCAATTTTTAATTCCTCCTTCTCTTCCCTATAGCTCTTCTTTCTTTTTTCCCCTGCTTTTTATCCATCTCCCTCCCCACCTCTGGCTCCCTGTGCCTAGGTTTTAATTCCTCCCTCTCTACCCTCTAGCTGTTGCTGTACTTCCTGTGTGTGTCACAATGCGTCTGGGTCCTTGTCCCTATCATCTCCTTCCTCCCTTTCCTCCCTGTAGCCTGTCGTTCTAACTTTCTTTCGCTGTCTCTCTGTGTTCGGCTCTGGATCCCCGTTTTTTCCTTCCTCCCTCTCTCTGTCATATTGCCTCTGGCTATTTTTTCTTTCTCCAGCTCTCTCTGCCTGGCTCTGTCTCCCTATTTTTTAATTCCTCCCTCTCTGTCCTGGAGACTATCAGTTATTTTTAATTTCTCTGTCTCTTTTTGTCTGGTTCCCTCTCCCTGTTGTTCAGTTTCTTCATTCTCAGCCCTGTAGCATGTTGCAATTCTGTTTCTTTCTTTGTCTCTCCTTTCCCAGCTTTTAATCCCCACCCCTTTCTCCATCTCATTCTGACTTGCTTCCCATCCGTTTTTTAATTCCTCCCTCTCTGCTGTATAGCCTGTCACTTTTTTCTTTTCTCCATCTCCTATGTCTGTCTCGCTGCCCCCACTTTTTAATTCTTCCTCTCTGCCCTGTACCCCGCTGCTATTTTTGCCTTTCTCCATCCCTCTCTGTCCAGCTCCCTGTCCCTATTTATTCATTCCTCCCTCTTTTTCCTGCACAACCCGCTATTCCCTGCAATCTCCATCTCTCTCTGTCTGTCTCCCTGTCCCCAGTTTTTAGGTCCTCCCTCTGCTCCCTGTAGACTGTGTGGATTTTTTTCCCTCCCTGCTGCTATTTTTTATTTCCTTCCTATCTGTCTTGTAGCCCGTTACTGCTTTTTTTTTTTTCCTTCTTTCTCCATGTCTCTCTGTCTGGATCCCAGCCTCTGTTCTTTAATTCCTCCCTCTTCTCTGTACACTCCACTATTTTTTTCCATTCTCCATCACGCTCTCTCTGGTCCCACGTTCCTACTTATCAATTCCTCCCTCTTTGCCCTGTGGCCTGTCACTTTTTCCCATTTTATTTCTGCCTCTCTCTCTGTCTGGATCCCTGCCCCTGGTTTTTAAATTCCTCCCTCTCTGTCCTGTTGCCTGTGCAAGCTTTTGCCTTTCTCCATGTCTCTCTAGCCAGCTCTCTGTCCCTATTTATTAATTCCTCCCTCTTGCCCTGTAGCCTGTCACATTTGTCCTTTCTCCATCTCACTGTCTCTGGTGTCTCTGGTTGCCTGATGACCCTACTTTAAATACCTCCGCACTTCTTTCTGTACACATTGCTATTTGTCCTGGTTTTGGCCGGGATAGAGTTAATTTTCTTTCTAGTAGCTGATATAGTGCTATGTTTTGGGTTCAGTATGAGAAGAATGTTGATAACACACTGATGTTTTCAGTTGTTGCTAAGTAGTGTTTAGACTAAGTCAAGGATTTTTCAGCTTCTCACTCCCAGCCAGCAAGAAGGCTGGAGGGGCACAAGAAGCTGTGAGGGGACACAGCCAGGACAGCTGGCCCAAACTGGCCAATGGGGTATTCCATACCGTGTGATGTCATATCCAGTATATAAACTGGGTGGAGTTGGCCTGGGGGCGATCACTGCTTGGGAACTGACTGGGTATTGGTCAGCGAGTGGTGAGCAATTGCATTGTCCATCACTTGTTTTGTACATTCCAATTCTTTTATTATTATTATTGCCATTTTATTATTGCCATTTTATTATTGTTATTATTTTATTATTGTTTTCTTCCTTTCTGTTCTATTAAACTGTTCTTATCTCAACCCACAAGTTTTACTTTTTCTTTTTTTTTTCCCCAATTATCATCTCCCCCATCCCACTGGGTGGGGAAGTGAGTGACCAGCTACGTGGTGCTTAGTTGCTGGCTGGGGCTAAACTACGACGCTATTCTTTTTGCTCTCCAGCTCTCTTTTTTTCCGTCTCCATGTCCCTATTTCTTAATTTTTCCCTCTCTGCCCTGTATCATGTAGCTACGTGGTTTGTTTTGTGTTGCTCCCCGCCCCGCTCTGGCCCTTCCCTCCGTCGTTCGCCGTCCCGGCTCCCTGTCCCTGTTGTTCCATTCCTCTCTCCCCCCTGTTGTTTGTCTCTTTTTTTTGTCTTTCTCCATCTCTCTCAGTCTGGCTCCCTGTCCCTGCTCTTCTTTCCTCCTTCTCTGGCATGCTGCCTGTCCCCCAGGTTTTTCTTGCATCTCCATCCCGCTCCCCCTCCCTCTTTGTGCTGCCTCTCTTCCTCTCTCCCTGCTGCTTCTTTCTCCGTCGCTGTCCCGTTCCCTGCCTCATGATTTCTTGCTGCACCCCTGCTGTGTCTAGCCAGCTGCCACTTTTGTCCTCTCTTCTAGTGTCCTGCTCCTCATTTTTGGCAGCCCTCACCTCTGCCCAGCAGCCCATCGCTCCAGGAGCCGACAGACCGACTCTCTGTTCCCCGATGGACCGACGAGCGTGGCTCAGGGACCGACTGCCGAGGTGGCCCAGGGGCAGGGGCAGCATCGGGGTCCCCGAGCCCCAGAGCAGACTCGGTCCCAGGACTTGTTAGGAGTGTGACCGAATAAACCCTCGCCGTCCCCTCTGCCCTCCCGGCTGCGTTTGCGCTCCCTTTGCACCGTGCGAGGGGCCGTGAGGGAGCCCGGGGGAGGAGGTGTGACGCGCCGGGGGGGTCGGGCGATGCCCCCCCGGCCCCCCGTTCCTGCTGGGCTCCAGCTGCGGCCCGGGGCCGGGGGAGCCCCGGGTGCGGGCGGTGAGGCTGATGGCGACGGGGCCGCGCCGTGTCGGAGCCGGGCGGAGGGGCCAGCCCGGAGACAGAGCCGGGGGCTCGGCGGGGATCGCGGGTCCGTCGGCGGAGGGGCTGGGGGAACGGACCCGGTGTCC